CCAACTTCTCACAGCGCTTCTTCATAATCAGCTTTATGATTTGGCCAAGATGATTTTATTTATTTAAGATATAAAAAATTGTTTATCTGCAGTTCAGTTTTTATGTCCCTCTATTTCTAAGCCAAAACTTCTTTAAATGCTTCTTTCTTCTAAAGAACTTAATTATAATTATAGAAAACCGAAAGGCAGAGTGTTAAATTTCTAAACTTATTTAAGCACTCCTCCCTCCTGTCTAGTGATTAATGCATAACACTAAACTAACCTTCTTTTAACTCTTCTCTGACTTCTCCAGCGATAAAATTGAGCGTTTTATAGACGATAACAAGGCGCTGATGCGTCGCATGTACGGCGACTTCGAGATGAATATGGAAGGTGGTGGCACAGGTGGGCAGGCCAAGGTGCGCAAGCGACGCTTCATAGACGAGCCGGATATATTTATACCACCTGGAGCTTATGCCGCAACAGCAGGTGAAGCCGGTGACAGTTACTTTGGTGAACTGCGCAAGAAGCGGCAAGCAGCAGCAGGTGGCAATCGAAATCGAGGAGGCGCTGCTGCAGGTGGGGCAGGTGGCGGCGGCACCAGTAGAGCCAGCAATCTGCCCGGCAACGCGAATGGCAATTCGGGCACAGGGCGACTCGATGCATGCGAATCGAAAATTGAAATTGTTACACCCTATTGGGCCTCGAATTCGGCTGGGAAAATCCGAGCCATTGTCAATACGCAGCACTTCGAGCAGGCCATACACCAGGAGGTGTGCAGGTGCGATATATTGAATACATATAGACATATATATCAATCTGATATATAAATATATATCTCTTCCTTTTAGCAACACCCAAACGTCACGCTGTGAGGGCGAATGCGGCTGTGAGCAGAAATATAAGTGGCATCGTCTGTTGGCCTACGATCCCGACAATGATTGCAAAGGCATTTTTATGGATTGGTTCCTGTTTCCTTCATGCTGTGTCTGCCGCTGCAATCCCTAGTAAAGCAAAAAAGTGTAAGAAGAGGAAGAAGAAGAAGAGCTAGTGTTTCTTTTGTAGAATGCCACTGAATGTATTTTAGTTGTTCTTAAGTAGATCCTAAACAATTAAGTTACTCGTAGCGTTTAGTCTAATGTTTAAACTCTTTTTGTACGAGCCATATCCCATCTATATATCATATCGTAATATCCACCTACAGTCTCCATTTTTGTTGTTGTATTTTAAACTGTAATTGTAATTGACGAACGATAAATGAATAAAATTTAATTCGAAATCATTGAGGAGCAAGGTTTTCGCTTTTATTGATGTTTTATTGCTGTTGAGACAATCAGATTTTGAAGTTAATGACTTTATTAAGAAATTTACATTTTGCGTCATTAAATTGAAGAAACAAAAGAATTTGTTTAATATTTAAATTTTATTTTTGTTTCTTTCTTTTGTGGCTTGAGGAACCTGGATTTATTTCCTTGGCTTTATATGTTGATAAATATATATATAATATTTGATTATATTTCGGATACCAATGTACCAATGTACCACTGTACCCATGTATCAATGTACTAATGTGCCAATGTACCAATATGTCAAAGTACCAATGCACCACTGTACCAATGTACTAATGTACCAATGTACCACTGTACCAATATATGTACCAATATACCAATATATGTACCAATATACCAATATATGTACCAACATACCAATGTACCACTGTACCAATGTACCAATGTACCACTGTGTCAATGTACCAATGTACCAATGTACCACTGTACCACTGTACCAATGTGCAAATGGGTAAATGTACAAATGTATATATGTACAAATGTACCAATGTACAAATGTACCAATGTACCACTGTACAAATGTACCAATGTACCACTGTACCAATGTACCAATGTACCACTGTACCAATGTACCACTGTACCACTGTACCAATGTACCACTGTACCAATGTACCACTGTACCAATGTACCACTGTACCAATGTACCACTGTACCAATGTACCACTGTACCAATGTACCACTGTACCAATGTACCACTGTACCAATGTACCAATGTATCACTGTACCAATGTACCAATATACCAATGTACTACTGTACCAATGTGCAAATGGGTAAATGTACAAATGTATATATGTACAAATGTACCAATATACAAATGTACCAATGTCACAATGTACGTTAATATATATGTACCAGTTAACATAGCTTGACAGTTCATAATGAAATACTATTTAGTATTAAAAATTTCAATATGTGAATGTCATCGAAGTCTATTTTATTTATCTATTTTAGTTATCGACATCAAGTATGGATAGCCAACATTTTGGAAGATATTTAGATTTTCATATATGAAATGTTTAAATTAAAAACTCAACAAAAACTACACTTTTCCAGTTTATCTAAATAAGCTTTCAACTTGATTAAAGAAATCTTTCAAACTGTGTTTATGTCCCAGTTACTTGATATTATATGTATTATGATCGCATATGTTCATCTATCATCTGAGCATATCATAATAGATGCCATATCATATATGTATATGATATATCATCTATTCATAATCTACATAATTTTGCGATTTAGATGAAAGGCCAACTTTTCCAGGTAATGAACCATTCCGCCAAGCTTAGCCCAAAGCTATTTTACCGTTACCATTAGCTTTGCACGCATGTTATAGCAGCGAGCTTTCAATCGCGCTGCATACAGCTTCCAGTTGATACGAAGCTCAATGCCAAAAAAAAGCTTTTTCATGAATCACTTTAGCAATTGTGGGTCAGAAACAGTTTATTCACTTAAATGCGATGCGAATACCCTTTGCATGGTGTCCTTCTGCATTCTTTCTTAACTGTTTCATAAAACGTTTATGCGACTGCGATTCATAAATACCAAAATAACAGCAGAAGAAGGCGATGATGAAAATAAAACATATTCATTCCTTGTCTTTCGGGTTTGGTCGTAAAAATAATCCCTTGGAATTGCATTTCGTATGCCAGACACGTATTCAATCACAGCAATGGCCACACAAAACTGCGCTATATCAAAAATTTTCGGCTTGGGGAACTTGTAGTCGTGCATGGTATACAAATGGTAACATTTTTTCTATTCTTTTTTTTATTTTTATTTTTGTAACCAACAACAACGATTTGAGGAAGCATTGCAAAACATTTGTGTCTGGGCAGTTAGTTAGTGAAGTGGAGATTCACATTATAGACGCCCGCTCGGCAATGTCAACAACTTGCAGCCATGACGACGGCGACGATGGCAACGACAACAATAGCAACGATAGTGATATCAACAACAACATCAAGAGCAGCCAGGAACATTGCAGTTGGGCGTAAACGGCTGCTTAATACTCGTTCATAGTACACAGGTTGGATTTATCCCAATGGATAGTATCATAGATCTGTGGAGTATGTCAACTGCCAGCTCAATTGGTAATCGGTATTCTAATATTCTGATATTGTTTTAGTGTTTCTCTCAGATTTGCCACGCCTCCAATGAGCATTATGAGCTTATATTTTCAGCTTCAAATATCTAGCTTCTAGGTTCAATAGCAACAAAGAACTTTCATGCAAAGTGCATTGCACACAGCCAATATACCCTCTTTTTAAAAACGTTAACGGGTATAATAATACCTTCAACAACAACAAAAAGCAATCGCGGACTAACCATGAGATTTACTAAGCGAAAACATTTCACCAGTTTCTGTTCTGCTAGGGAGTGCCAGGCGATATGACGCCCACAGCACACAGACAATACAGATATATAAGGGGACGCGAACACACACACAGAGACAGACACACTTTCTATGGAATACGCAAATACCATGTCAATGATATGGATGCTGTTGTTGCTGTCATTGTTATACCCTGTACTAGAAACTCATAAGCTAGCTGGTCTGTTAGCCAGTAATGTAATAGGTTCGTGAATATAGTTCAATAGGCTATCATAAGGCTCCACTCTCTTTATGTCATTAGTCATTAGTCATTAGTCATTAGTCATTAGTCATTAGTCATTAGTCATTAGTCATTAGTCATTAGTCATTAGTCATTAGTCATTAGTCATTAGTCATTAGTCATTAGTCATTAGTCATTAGTCATTAGTCATTAGTCATTAGTCATTAGTCATTAGTCATTAGTCATTAGTCATTAGTCATTAGTCATTAGTCATTAGTCATTAGTCATTAGTCATTAGTCATTAGTCATTAGTCATTAGTCATTAGTCATTAGTCATTAGTCATTAGTCATTAGTCATTAGTCATTAGTCATTAGTCATTAGTCATTAGTCATTAGTCATTAGTCATTAGTCATTAGTCATTAGTCATTAGTCATTAGTCATTAGTCATTAGTCATTAGTCATTAGTCATTAGTCATTAGTCATTAGTCATTAGTCATTAGTCATTAGTCATTAGTCATTAGTCATTAGTCATTAGTCATTAGTCATTAGTCATTAGTCATTAGTCATTAGTCATTAGTCATTAGTCATTAGTCATTAGTCATTAGTCATTAGTCATTAGTCATTAGTCATTAGTCATTAGTCATTAGTCATTAGTCATTAGTCATTAGTCATTAGTCATTAGTCATTAGTCATTACTTGTAGACAGATACCTTTTGCAGGGTGTTTCGCTATCGAGTAACTACTTGACTGCTAATTGTTGTTGGCACTGCGCGCGCACATATTTGTCCTTTAAGCGTAATGCGAACTGCGAAATGTGCAAAAGAATTCGGCATTGGCGAAGTGGTCAGAGAAAACGTTAGCCGCATACCCAAACAACAAATGTTAAGTAAGTCGCACGCTTTATGTGTGTTAGTGGATGTGTGTGTGCGAGTGTTTATGAGAGTGTGTGTATGTGTGTGTGGGGCGCATGTGTAGGACGTCATATCCTGGCAGAAGAAGCACCAACAGCAGAGCTCTGTCATCAGGGCCAAATGTGGCACTAAAATCTCAGCCGCTGTCGCCGTTTGCCTATAAATACAAATGTCTGCACGCAGCTTGGCTTAAAGCAACATTGTTATCCTAGTTCGGCGCATCGTGTGGACGAAAGTGGCAAGAAAAACGCAAATATATATATAACAGAGTAAATATTAGATAATAAACGTACAGGCTCGTGACGCACAGCTAATCCCAACGGCAACAACAACAACAAAAATTCCGTGCCAAGTGAGTCAGAGTTCAGCCAAATTGGAAATTATAAAACTGCATTCAATTCATTTTGATTAGTTGTTAATAATATTTAAGCTAGCTAAAAGCTGAGAGAAAAATAAAATGTTTTATGCAATTTGCATGCAAGTGTCGTGGGTATATTAGCTCGGTGCAGTGACTATTTGCGTATTAAAGAAAATATTTATAAGTAAAACTCAACTAAATGTAGAAATAAGCAAGTGAAAGAGCTATTTTAAACCTGCATATTCATGTTTAGTATGATATGATATCTGATAGATAGGATCGGGTATATAGGAAGCATTTTTCTCTGTGCGTATAAGTTCTGTAGATATTCCAAGAACTAAGAATATTTAGATATATCCTTTTAATTTTGATTTAAATGTACAGACATAATACATACAGAATTTCTTAATTTATCAGAAAGTATGAGAGAGAGAGAGAAATGCAAATAGAGGGAAAGAGAAAGAGAGAGACAGAGTAGGAAAGGAGAAAGAGAACTAAACTAAACTGCGAAAGACAGATCGAAATAAAATATAATATGCAAAATATATGTTAAGGAAATTATAGATAGAGAGAGAAAGAAGTAAGAGCAGGAAAATTCAGAAAGAGAACTTATCGACAAAAATAGGAAAAAACATAGAGAATAAGAGAAAGAGAAATATAGGAAAAAGAAAGGAACAAGAGACAATTGAGAGAGACAAAGAAGGAACAATCAGAAAAATAGTTGGATAAAGAGTTATATAGTAATCGCTGTTAAAATAAAAGATATGCAAAGATGAAAAGAGATAGAGCTGAGTAAAAGAGATTGTTCGAAAGAGACAGAGAGACGCACAGGAGTATTATCGAAGGAATAGAGAAAAAGCGAGAAAGTGAGAGAAAGAAAAAGATATAGACATTCGAAAAGAAACAGGGAGACAAAGCGAGAAAAATTTGCCTTCTTGTCTCCTACCGAGGGAGAGAGCAAAGAGAGCGACAAAGAGATCAAGGTGAGAGCACAAGACTGACTAAAATAAAGAGAGGAAAAGTTGATAAAACGAAGAGGTGAAAGATATAAAGAGAAAGATGTAAAGAGATAAAAAGAGAGAGAGAGAGAAAGTATCTGACAATTAACTCCATCTTTAACGCTATCTAACTCACGAAAAGAGTATTATGCAGTCTGCTAAGCTCGGATTCTAGGTTTCTCTAGGCAAACATTTATTCACAGGTTGTTTTCTGCTGCCAGCAAATCCTTTGAGCCTTTTGCAAAGTATAAATTACACAGCCTTTTCCATATTATCTACGCGTAGCAACAAAACCAACACACCTGCAGCCGCACCTGTAACCACAGCAACAACGCCCACATAATGACCCAAACTGCAACCAGGAATCAGGCCCCATCTGCGCCGGCATCGCTAGCTCCAATCTCATCTCCGTCTTTGACTGTGATGCCGTCGCAGCGGCTGCAATCGTCGCTGTCGCTGTCGCTGCCGCTGCCTCTGCTGCTGTCGCTGATGCTGCTGCTGCTCCTGTTGGTGCCGCCGCAGCCTTGCGAGAGCCGATACCTGCCGACAAGGTCGCATGGCGACGAATTGGATAAGTTGCGTGAGCTGATGCTTCAGGTAGGTAACCACCGACTCCCAACCACTCCCCTTCTTCCCCCAGCAACGAACGCCCAGCACTCTGCACCCTTCGTAAGTGAATAGCCTGTTGAAAGAGCATTGTTTATGCGCATTAGTGTGAGGGAGACTGTGAGAGTGTGTGAGTGTGAGCTGAACTCATATGCACACTCTATATGCTAGGTATGATGACTATATTATGAACTAAGGCTCTGCAAGACATTATGCTATAAGTTTAGTAATGCCTATACAGTTACGTTTATTAGATGAATTATATTCGTCACGGTAATTATTAATATATATATATTAATTCAATAAATATTATAATTAATTATTATATCTTTTTTAAATTTTTTTTTATTTATATATTATATATACAGTAGACAAAATCAATCAGTCTAAGAATTATATTTGATTTAAGTTTCATAGAATTTCTTTTTATTTAATAATAACTTAAGCAACCAAATTGTATTATATAAATATATAGTTAAAATAGAAATCATATTATAATATATTTTGGTTTATGTTTTAAGGTTTCGCAACTAATCTAAATGTTTATATATACATATATTACTAATAAGTTTGAAAACTCAATTAAATTATTTTTATACTTATAGTTTTTTCTATATATATATATTTTAATATTTAAACATTTTTTGTTAATATATAATTTATTTTATTTAATTTAATTTATTTCATTAATTTAGTTTAATTTATTTTTTCTTCATATATTTTACACAAGCTCTGCCGAGCTGCTTTCAGAGTTTTTAATATAATTTTCAAAATATACATACATATGTATGCTTATGTTATATACATATATATATATTGCAATACAATACAAGTTCATTTATATATAAATATATAAATGTATATAGTTAGGGCATTTCCACTTCGATATGCTTCCCTTCTTGCGCTTCATTTTGGTGTGTTATTTGGCTGTTGTTGTTATTGTCGGTTGGTTATTTTTGTCGATATAATTAACTAAATGAAAAGAGTCAAAAGCGTGGTATTAAGTTGCAATTATGTCGCCAATTATTGGGGTTTTATTTTTCAGCGTGTTTTTGTTTTTGGTTGATCGGTCAGAGCTGTTGCGGGTTACCCATTTTTCGGTTGCGTCATGCGCCCAATCAATGGCTCTAGATAGGGTTACCCGAAATCAGAAAAACAAAAATGCAGAGCTCCTGAGCAGCACAGGTATTTTTTCGTTGTTGTTACTGGACTTGTTATTGTTGTTATTGTTTTAGCTGCGTCTGCAAAAGCGTTTCACAAATATTTTACATATTTCGCAAGCAGTCAACTGCTGCTGCTGTTGTTGTTGGTCATCTGAACAACAACAATAACAACAAGTGCTGCCTCTGCCTCTGCCTCTGCCTCTGCTGCTGCTGCTGGCAGAGCCTGCCCGGCTACAATCGCCAACCTGCTGAGCTGCAAGCTCTCATCTTTGCCAACCTGACCAAATTTTATATTAAAAAAACTAAATTCCTCTTCTTGTGCTTCTGCTTCTTCTTCTTCTGTATTATTATTATTATTATTTTTTTTTTTTTGCTGGCCAAGTTTCCTGTTCTTTTTCGCAACAGCCGCGCACAAAAATGCTGCTCAACCAGGAGGGGGGCCAATTTTTAATGGATGCTTCACATCATTTTTGCCACTCGATTTTCAGACGCAGCTGCAACTGTGCCACAGCAATAGCGACTTCAACTGCAACTGCAACTGTGCAACGGCAACTATTTAGCTGACTTCTCTGTGTTTATGTGTAGCATCTTGGCCACTTCAACTTCAGCTGTCTAGGCTTTTGATGAGCTCCGTCTATGTGCTTGTCCTTGAGTCTAGCTCTGAATTGCTCGTTAGCTTCGCGATCTTTGTTGGGTCTGTTTTCAGCAATTGTCTACAGTTCATCAGTGCTCTAAATGGAGCTGCTTAAAATGGTGTTAATTTGATTTGTCTCCAGGTCATGCAGTCTGTCTTGTGATATATATAAATATATATATATAGGCATATGGACTTGTATTAGGCTTTGTATTTTAGACTGTCAATAGTTTCATTGCTGTATCGTGTTCATGGAAATATCTTGAATTTTGTGAGCAATCTTCAGGCTGGTACGGGCTTAATTTCATCTAGGTATTACGCTAGAGTTTCATCAAGGCTGCAATAAAGAGTCTTGTCTGGGGAGTTGTCTAGGTGCCTTGACTTAGGCTAGAAGCTCTTTTGGGGTGCTGTTAAAACACTTCATCTGCTTGTAGTATATAGCTGTTATATATCTAAATTACACATTTTAAAAATCAAGGCTTGTCGCAGAGTTCATCTATAAATTAGTTAAGGTTATTAAGTAAATATTATTATATTATATTAAGTAGATGTGAAGCTAAGAGGTTGTCAATGAGTGCATTTAATTTTATCCACCTATTGAACCGTCTCTCAGCTTGTATATATATATATATATTTCGTCTACGATTTCATCAAAGATTAAATAATTCATCTCTGTGTGTGTCTACCAATGATGCCCAGTATTACGTCCTGGTTCTCAATCTATGATTCCATAAGACTTAATCTGGTGAAGATTTATCTCAGTGCATTTGCAGAGCGTACAATGGATTGCTTTTCGCTAATTACTTAAGTTTCTGTATCTGAACTTGTTGCCACATGTTACCCACGCGTCTTCTGGAACGACTTCATTCATGCGAGCTTCAAGGTCGATTCCAATATTTTTATGACTTTATTTATGGCTGGAATACTTTGTTTTTATGTTCTCTTAGTTTATCTCACAGTCTGTCTCTGTCTAATCCTCTCTCTGTTACTCTGGGTGTTAGCCTGTCTCTGTCTCTATCTCCGACTGTTGTCTGTGCTTTGAAGTTTGAGTTGGAGTTTTTGCAGTTGAGTCTCTGAGTCATGTCAGGGCCCTTGCGAATCGATAAGCCGCTGACGTGAGACGCGCACAAAGTGATTTTGGCCAAACAGCACAAAGAGGCAACAAGACAACAGACAACACAACAACAATACAACAACAACAAAAGGCGAAGCAGAAGAAAAAAAGAAAACATCGAAGTGAAATAAAATGTAGCAAAACGTGAAGGGAAAATCAAATGTCAAATAGCAAAAAAGTTGGAAGATGACGTCGCTGAGGCTGCGACTGAGGCGACTGGGGTCGGCGCTTGATGAAGGTTGACTTTGACTTTGTCGACGTCACGCAGAAAATAATAAATAAAGGAAATTCCGTTTGCCAGCCAGAGCGTAATGCATTGAACCTGCAGATCATGAGTTGCCAAACATCTGAGCTCAGCTCATGCTTAATTAGCCTTCGCCTCTCACTTGCGGCAGGAGACTTCACTTGGGCCAGCGACTCAAAACAAGGAAGTGACAAGAAAAACAATTCCCTGTCGCACTTACTATATGAAATTTGTTGTCAAAATGTTATTGTGAGTGCTCAAGGGCATGAAAGTAATCTGAAATGGATTAGTGCTTCAAGTGGAGGCGGACTGGAAAGCCTTGTGTTTACTCCCAGCTGCTAATAACTTTTCATTTTAGTTTTCTCTATATATTTATTCCAACTCGAAAGCCTTCGCCTAGAAATAAAACATTTAAGACTTACTTAAAACTCGCTCAACCTCCACCACAAATCACAGCGATCGAAAAGAGCAGCAATTGATTAGGCCCATATCTAAAAATAAAATTGACCACGAGAAATAATAATACACACAAACAAATAATTATAAATAAACATAATAAAAATTATTAATTTTAAAAATAAATTAAACCACATCTAAGGTCAGGCGTGCGAAATAATAATAGTAACAAAATATGCGCTTGACTCAGTAAAAAAAAGAGTGAAAAATATTTGTGCCGCGATGATTTGATGGAATTTCACATGTTAAATAACAAAACTTCATGGTAAATTTAATCATAAATTTTGAAGTCAACAATTTGTCTGTAGCCTGGCCTCACTCAGTATTCATTTGTGTTGGCATTCAACAGCGTAATATTATCATTAATATTGGTATTTTAATTATTATCTATGATACTGGTAATATAATATATAAGATAATTAATGATATAATATGGACTGGAGTTACAAAAGCCAGGCACAGCTTGATGTTGCCCAACTGAGTACTCTAGTTATCCTTGTTCCTTAAAACTTTAGTTAACAGTCTCCACAATTGCGGTTGGGATACGTTTAACTGTGAACTAAAGGCATCTTTCAGACAGACAGCGAGACAGACCTTTATACGTTCTAGGACCTCAGGAGTGACGACATGTGGAAATAGCTTTAAAGACCTGACAGAGGTCTATTACTACTACTTTTACTACTACTTTTACTACTATTTCTACTACTTTTACTACTACTTTTACTACTACTATTTCTACTACTCTTACTACTACTATTACTACTACTATTTCTACTACTTTTACTACTACTATTTCTACTACTTTTACTACTACTATTTTTACTACTACTTTTACTACTACTATTTTTACTACTACTTTTACTACTACTATTACTACTACTTTTACTACTACTTTTACTACTATTTCTACTACTTTTACTACTATTTCTACTAGTTTTACTACTACTATTTTTACTACTACTTTTACTACTACTATTTCTAATACTTTGACTACTACTATTACTACTACTATTTCTACTACTTTTACTACTACAATGTTTACTACTACTTTTACTACTACTATTTCTAATACTTTGACTACTACTTTTACTACTACTATTTCTACTACTTTTACTACCACTATTTCTACTACTTTTACTACTACTATTACTACTACTTTTACTACTATTATTACTACTACTTCTACAACTATTATTACTACTACTTTTACAACTATTATTACTACTACTTTTACTACTACTCTTACTACTACTATTACTACTACTTTTACTACTATTTCTACTACTTTTACTACTATTTCTACTACTTTTACTACTACTATTTTTACTACTACTTTTACTACTACTATTTCTACTACTTTTACTACTACTATTACTACTACTTTTACTACTATTATTACTACTACTTCTACAACTATTATTACTACTACTTTTACAACTATTATTACTACTACTTTTACTACTACTCTTACTACTACTATTACTACTACTTTTACTATTTCTCTTACCAAAACTATTGCTTTAATGATTACATCAATGATTGTAAGCATTAATTTGATGACTAGCCCATTGATTGTTAGTCGTTTAGTTCAATATTTAACAACATTTATTTGGCAAACGTGTGGCTAGGCCATTAAAACTGTGACTGTGACTGTGGCAGCTACAAAATTGGGGTTGCAACAGCTACGGAGTCCCCTTTCCCTTTCCCCTTCCCCTGCCGCGATACCTTAGCGAAAAGCAACAATGACGACAATCGCAGAGACCCTTATCCAATCACATAACTTTGCACTTAACGGCAAGTCTCAAATTAAACTGTCCAAATGTGAGGATGCTTTGGCAAAGCGAGGGGCTGGGGCATATGACAGACCCTGCTAACTGCGATGCCATGCGATAATAACGATGGTCGCTTCCTTATACGATATATATCTCTCGACTTTAAGCACACAGCTGCAATAGCTGCAGTTCGCAGTTATTAAAACAAAGGGGCGTCCATTAGCGCAACAGAGACGCCATCTGTGGGAGAGAGAGAGGGAGCGAGAGACACAATCTTTTAAATTAGCAATAACATAATTACCTGGCGCAAAATTGTTTTAAGGTATTTCTCGCCGCTTATTTATTTTTCTTCTGATGTTCACACATCGTTCGCCAAAAAGCGTAGAGCCGAAGAAGAAACAAAAGAGTTGGGAGGCGAAAAAAAGAGGTTACCGTCTGATAATTACACGACAATACCCCCCATTAACACATTTTCAGTCGGCGCTCGGCGCACAGCTTCGCGCCTCACTCAGAGCTCCGGGTTTAGAGCATCAGCTGCAGCGGCAGCAGCGTTACAGATGATATGAATAAAGTTCATTTGATTTAATGAACCGCCAAAAAAAAAATAATAAGCAAAAAAAAAAACATGATGTGACCATGCTTCCCACACACATAGCCTACCTCAGCGTGCATATTACAGGCTACACTGAGAGAAACGATTAAGAATTCCATGCTTGTCTGAAGCAAAAGTCTGTTATTGGTGATAGTCTTGCAAAACGTTCTACTTAGATCAAATTTATTTAATTTTTCTAGCTGCATTTAAAACCATTTATATATTATTATATTTTTAAATAATATTTTTTGATACATATATTTATGTACTTTGATACACAACAATTTTTTTTTAATTGTCAAAAACCAAAAACTTTTTTGTTTTAAAAAATTTTTTTTGGGAAATTAAATTTCATGAATATTTGTTTAATTAAAAACGAATTCTTCACATAAAAATGCTGATAAAAGCGTGTCAAATTTCTCATCGTGTAAGATTTCAACAGATTTTTTGAAAGAGCTAACAAACTCACAAACTCCGTTCACAAATTTCATGTAGGCAACAATAACAACAACAACAACAACAGTAACAGCAACAGCAACAGCAACAACAATAATAATGATAATAATAATAACAACCATAACAACAATAACAAACAAGCAACAACAATTGTAAGTCTAACTCTTTTTGTTTGCAGATTTTGGAGTTGAGCAATGAGGATCCACAACAACAGCAACAACAACAACAGCAACACCAAATGCGTCTGCACAATGAGGCCAACAATCCGCTGACCGCTCAGCGTGGCAGCAGCAGCAGCAACTCCAATGCCGCCTGGCTCCAGAAACTGGGTGCTATCGGCGCACTCGACACGGATGCCGGCTATGGGCGCTACTAAAGACGAAACCCCAACAACCAAACCAACCATGACGACCCCCATTAAATTATGGAAAAACGAAACTAGGAATGCAAACAAAAAACATATTTGAAATGCCTAAATTCTTTATTTAATTAAGCAAATCAAAGAGAACTGGTTCCGAAATTGAACACAATCCAAAGCGAGTTACAAATTTTAACTGTTTTAAAAGAAATTTTTGTATAACTAAAAAGTTTATTTGTAAAGCCAAAATTCTTCAATAATTTAATTCAGAGCGAACTAGTTCCATAATTAAACAAGTGTATCCCATATTTATTGACCGTATTGATATATAACTAAGCAATTAACCTGTAAATCCAAAATTCTTACATATTTTTTAAAAATCGATAAGAACTAGTTCCGTAACTGAACATATTTTAAAATTAATCCATTCATTAAGATTACATTGTGCTAAAGCTAGTCATTAAAAATCTTCAGTTCTTATTTATTTTAGCAAAGAGATGGAGCTAGTAGTTCCGCAATAACTTTTGACTAGTTCCGAATAGAAGCGTTCTTAAGGAACTTTTTAAAGTTTTAAATTAACTTATAAAAGTGAACTAGTCCGGCAATATGTTAAGAATGCAACCTACTAGCGCTCAAGTTCAAAGAGCGAACTAGTTTTTTATTCAATTTTAAGTTAACTAAAGTACAGTCAGCACTCGCTACAGCCTTGGTTAATGAAAGTTAGGCAGATATGAGTTAGGGTATTTCAAATAATTTTTCGCATTCCATAGGAAAAAGCTCAACGGTTTTAAATACTGAACTCAAAAGAACTTAAACAGTTCCTCTAAAAGAACAATAATTTTTAAACTTTTACGACTAAACAAAAAGCAAAAAAAAAAAAACAAAAAAAAAAGATATATGTACTATAAATATATATATATATATAAAGTGAGTTAACTAGTAATCAAAAATTATACGATATATATATTATACTATATATATACATATAGATATTGCTGTATAGTTCCTCAAACTTAGTTTTGTGGCTGCCAGATTCTGTTGCATTGTTAGTTGAAAGAAGAAGAGTCAATTGTAAATATGTAATACCCGTCCCTGACAGCATAAACCTGCGCGTTTTTCTTCTTGTTCATATATTTCATTGTTTTAATGGGCCTCAAGGCTGGGCAAATAAATATAAATTATGAGTATATTACAAGCAAGTACCACGAGTTAAAATTTCTGCTGCTTACATTTTGTGTTCGGCTCTGGCCTCCAAGCAACATTTTATGGCGCCATATACCCGATATTATATATATTTATATACATATATGTGTGTGGGCACAGCAGCTCGGTTTATATAATTGTTATCTTTAAACGTTTATTACCTTATGATCAAAAACAATAAAAGAAATCATTTTCAATGCAAGGCCTCTGCACATTTCGTTAATTAGATCTGCAGATAGAGCGTAGCTGCAGACAGAAGCTGGGAAAACTCGCTTATGCAATGCTAAACACGCACTCCCGATTTGTATCTGACAGATACAGCTACAGATATGGATACTTTTACTGCCGGACAAATTGGAAAACATGCGAGCGTGTAGGGAGTGCTCAGCTAGCAAATACTCTGAACGTACACAAACAGAGAGACACACACACACACACTGGGAGACTCGACTTAAGCTTGACTTCAACTACATTAAGCATTCTGCACTATGAAAATTAATTAGTGAGAAATGTTCAGTTCTAGATGTAAGTTCTTAAAGCACTTTTCAGAGCGTATTTATGAGACTTCAATATGAATGTAAATGCAGGTATGAAAAGCGAAAAGTTTTTTTTTGTAATTTTGAAGGGTATCCAGATATATACATATATCAGATATACGGACAATTTGTACACTTATCACTGAAGGCACATATAACTATTTTTATAGACTTTAAGGTGCACTTTAAAAATTAAAAAATATCGATATTTAGCTATAATACTAAGTTATCTAGAAAAGAAGCAAATATTTTTGTGGTTAAACTTACATTTCGAAGCTCAAGTCTTTGACAATTCTAATTAATAAGTAAGAACGGACAGTCAGACATGGGCATAGCTCAAGTTAGCACATGATTCTGATCAGCCACGCCTTCTGCTGCCTGTCGAATCTACCCCATTTACCCATCTCTAATTGTGTTTAGGGTATCCAAAAAAAAAAATGTAGAAAGAGAAAAAAACGGAATTTACTTTCTTTGCGCCGTGTTCAAGTGCAACACTTGACAAATTAAAAGCTAACAAGTGGCGATTGCCAGACCCAGTTTACCCAGAGCCGAGCCCATCAGGTTACAGATACAGATACGGCTGAAGATACAGATACTTTGTCTTTATGTGTCAGTGCTGTGTCTTTACAAGTGCCCACGCCGCGTCTTCCAAAGTTCCGTTGCCTGTCGCCGCATTTCTGTTTTGTAAACGCATTTTAATTGCTTTTCGCTGCTTTTTATGTAAATACAATATTATTTAAATGGCGTTTGAGTTCATTCATTTCGGCTTATATATAGATACACATATGCATGTCTTTATATATCTGCTTGTTACATAAAGTCACAAAAAGATACTTAATAATAATTAGTATGTGTGCATGGCAAAGGTGTCGATGGAAATGATGATGCCGCCGCATGCCTCTGCCATGGTGAAAGCAGAAAGATTTCAGATGAAATATGATTTTGCGAGCTGAGAATCATGGGGGCTTGACATGGTGTAAGCACATGTCTCGGCTTGCCATTGAAGAGAGTTGTTATGAAAGTATTTTGAAAATTATGTAAAGAACTAATTAAAGTCGAGCATAGTTAGAGTACGAGATAAATGTAGTTGGAAATGTTGAAAGAATTTTTAATAATGATGTGTACTATGACGATGGATGATACAGAAAATAGTTAGAGCTATAGATATGGTTATAAATGACGATGGCATTAGGGAAGCTGAGCCTTACTATGTGATTCTCAGCAAAGGCTGTGACTACTAGTATTATATATTTATATATTTATATTTTTATATTTGCTCTCTATTATCCTTTCACTCTCGCTCTCTCTATATATTTTTATATCGTCTACACTCTCGCATTTTCTAGCTTCAATTTGATTTTCTTCATGTATCTCCCTCGGTTGCTCGTCTCTGCCCATGTTTCTCCTTCTCACTCTTTTTGTTTCTTTATAATGCGATCTATTTTTCTCCCTCTCAATCTTCTGTCACTCCTTCTCATTCTCTCTTGGCTTCTATATATTTCTTACCTTCTTCTTCTTTTCTCTGTATCCTGCCTCATTTTATGCTTCCCTCTTTGCGCTCTCCTGTGTCTATCCTTATTTTTCTTAACTCTCTCTCTCTCTCTCTTTCTATCTTTCGCATTCTATCTCCTGCTTCTCTTTCTCATTTGAAAACTTATCTCTCTTTCTCTCTATCTATCTCTTAGTCTATGATAGCTTAACACTTTTATAAATCTGATATTTTTCCAGCTATAAGCTTACCACTCCATAGCTTCTGGATCTAAATACATATAAGCAGATTCATTCCCCTTTTGAACATATCTACCATTACCTTAATTTCACTCTCCATCTATCCTGGTGCACACAACATTTTGTGTTTCTAGTCATCTATTGCCCTCACTTCATTCATCTCACTTATTTTCATATCTTATCCATTGATGTTTATTTCAGGTAAACATTCAATTAACATTTGCTCTTATCTTGTGTACTTACAACATCGTTTACACCGATCATATATCTACATGGACAGAATTTCCATTTAAAAATTCGGCAATTCATTAATTTGAGTTGTTGTTGCTTAATCGATGTTGATTTTTGTTTTTGCTTTTTCTTTTGTGGCAGACTTGAAGCCTGCACCTGTTTTAGACACCCAGCAGCCAGCATCGCTATGAAGATGAAAACGATAATGATGATGATGATGAGAGCTGGAAGATGGGAGATGGTAGATGAGAGCTGAGCTGAGCTGAGCTGAGCTGGAAATTGAGGAAATGTGATGCGATGCGATGCGCTGCGCTGCGAGGCTCAAAATGAACAGCAAAATCAACAGGCGAAAAATAACAAAAAAAAAAGCAGATGGAAAGGCGAAGCACTTGCCATTTGGCTAACGGCATTATAAATGATGCCGCCGTGAAAAAGTGACAGTTAGCGCACAGTTACAGTTGCAGCTACATGGCTCATGCCACATGCCCCCAGTCTCGTTACCAACTTCCCAGGTTTGCATTCAGCAAGCGATTCTCCAGAAATCGAATTCCGGCAGCAGCAAAACGAAGAAACTTGGGCAAAGTTTCCAAAAAAGAAAAACCAAAGCAAAAACTACCAAACAGGAGTGTTTGGGATTCGAACCACACTGTCATTTATTGATTATGCGCATCTCAATTTAAGGCAACACCTCGGGCCAGAGCCGGAGCCAGAGCCAGAGCCAGAGCCAGAGCCAGAGCACATCGATCGAGATTGCATGATCGTGACAGGGGCAGAAAGAAAAGAAAAGTCGCCAATAAAGAAACATGGCTAATCACATTTTTCTTTCATTTTAATAGGCAGTACGACTGCAAATAATGTCATTGCCGAAATTATTGAATAAGCCAAAAGAAAAGAGAGAGAAAAAATATATAAAAATAAATGAAAGAAAATCATAGTCAACTATTATTGCATTATGGCCAAAAAATGGAAATGAAGATGGAGCTGGGCGATGGTAAAGCTAAAGCCAAAGCTAACTGATCGTAACCCAACAAGACCGTGAAGCTCATAATGAGCATTGCACAAGACAGAAAGAGAGCGACTAAAAGAGAGAGAGAGAGAGAGGGAGAGTGTGTGAGACATGAAGAAATGTGTAATAAGACCAAGCCACAGTCCAGTTCCAGTTGAGTCCAGATCGGAGACAAAGCTGCCCCTCTTCCTGTCGCCCCCTTTTTTCACAGTGTATGCAGCCACATTCATTGAAATTGAAAGTGAATCGTGCCACACGATCCGAACAGCCAGACGATGATGCGATCCTCCAGACCGAACAAAATCATCAAAATAATAATGTAACAAACAAAAACAAAGCGAAACAAAGAAACCACTAAAACAACATAAAACCAAGAAGTAACGCATAAAATTGCTGTAACCAGCGTGCAGAATCTTTAATACACTATCAATTGGTTTTTTTACTGGGGAACTTAAGCTATTGAGATGTGACCTCAGCTCAGCAATTGAATTTTCTCATCTCTTTTATTTATTTATTTATTTATTTATGAGGACAGGCCATAATCAAGGGCTCAAGCTGGCTATAGACTTAAATATACGCAGAGGCGTATATAGAGTAGAATATATTATTATCCTTAGCTTTAAAATATATCAAACTGAACATAAAACGCGGAATTTTCTTGCTTGACTTTGATAATATAACTAATTTTATATAAACTCATCCATAAAGCCTTCTTCGTATATCAATGTACCCTCCTATGAACTTTTCAGAATTGATTTCCCAATATATACTCTATTGCTAATTTATATACCCTTCCCTATATACTCTACTCAATATACCCTAGTCTATATATCCTTCTCCATATACTTTTCTTTATATATACCACTCTATATATGCTGCTTCATATACCCTTCTCAATATATCATACTCTATATATCTCAAATGCCAACTGGGTTTTACTTATATTCCAATTCATATTCTTTAATAGAGATAATATACTATATATATTCTATATATTCTATTTCGATCAAGTTGCATAATTACTTTAAGTAAGTCCCAAATAATTTTTATGAAATAGCAGCTTAAAGTGCGGTTCACACATAAAATCCTCTGCTCTTTGATTTTTTCATATAACTCAAAAAGTTTTAAGTCCACTGAAAATTTGGTTTAAAGTTCGACTTATATTAAAAGTTAAACTGAAATTGCTTTTAGTTACAAATGAAATTGAAGTTCCGGGTTCGAATCGGTTGCGCTTAAACTCGATTTGGCTTGCTTAACAGCAGCTGGGAATATTTATTTATTGAATTAATTTTTATATAAATTAATAATAATTTTTACATACGTTGTACATTTTTATTATACATTTATATAGTTTTGATACTTTATATACAATTATATAAGTTTTTATATATTTTTTTGAATATTTAAAAATATATTTATATAATTTATAATTTTTATAAGATGTTTTTAAAATATTTTTGATAACTAAATATTTTGCATAAATAAATATATAATTTATAAAATATTATGTGTATATGCATGTTATATATATTGCACATAGTATAATGCATCTGCTCTGTTTCATCTCAAATTGATTCTTCTACAAGCCAATGAAGAAGAATTTTCGTACCTGCTGACCCACTTACCTCGTACATATCAAATCACTTGAGCATATCCAAACAGATTTCACACATACTGAGGATTGAAGAGCTAGTTTTAACTACTTGGGTTTGTGTTAACTTTTAGGAGGGTATTAAATCATTTAAAATTAAAAAGGAAAACCGCAAACTAAGAAACGGTCATCGAAGCTGCTGTTGCTGCTGCAGTCGCAGTTAGCGGCGCTGCTGCCGTCAGCGTTAGCGCCGCAGCTAGGAGCGGCAGCAGAGGCAGCTTTGGCTCTAGCCTAAGCCACGGTCTACCCCTAGGCCCAGATGACTTGCCAGCTGCTGCGCTGCTTTAAGCTGTGTTTTGTTGTTGTTTTGTCTTTTTGCTTTTGTTTTTGTTTTTTTTTTTGCTTTGGCTGCGGCTGCTGCTGTTGCTGTTGCTGCGGCTGTTGATGTTGTTATTGCCGCCGTTTTATACATTTCAATTTCTTCATGGTTATGCGCTCTTTGCCAACTGGCGCGACCGCTGCTGCTGCTGGCGTCGCTGCCCGCTTCGCTGTCGGCTTCTGCTGAATTTTTACTTAATTTTTATTTCTCGCCAATGAGCGGCACTATAAAAGCAACTGCAACAATCGTTGTGGCATGCAGTCAGTGTAAGAGGTTCCGCGTCGCACAAGCTCCAGTGAATCAAACCAAGTTTCTCTCTCTCAAAAATAAATTAATAACGGATATTAACCGAAACTTGAAACGTTCAGTTTTTACAAACATTATGCAGTCCAGTTTTGTGGTATGTTCAAGTGGATCCCGCTATATATGTGTGTGTGTGTGTGCGTGTGTGTCATGCCCTATTGAAAATAGTTTGAAAGGGCATAAGATGGCCAAGCCCACAAAGTATACATAAACTCGTTCAGGACGAAGAGCTCAAACGATCAAGCTATATTCGTCCATACGTCTGTTTGTCCGATCTCGGAAACTACTAGAACTAGAGACCTGAAATTTCGAATATATATTCTTGAATATTGTACTTAGTACAATCTTTAATTTTTGTTCATTATTTTTTATAATGTTGATAATAATCAACACTTTGATTTGTTTTTTTCAAGCATAACATAGAAACTAGAGTGACCAAATTGAGCTATATATATACCTAATACAATTTAATTTTTTGGATTTTTGGATAACCTTTCCTATTAGCCATAAAATTTTAATACTATCTTAAGATTTCTTCACTAGAACCGCATTTATTAGAGTACAGGGTATTTGCTAGTCGACTTATGCTCACTTACTTGTTGCTTATGGCATTTTTTCTAATTCTTAGTTAGCGATTGTTTTGGCCGGCGTTGCGCTGGTCGCTGCTCGTCCGGAGCCACCGCGTGATACCTACAGCGCACCACCATCGAGCAGCTATCAGCCGAGCGGACCCAGCGGCGGCTACGGTGCACCTGCACCACAATATGGACCACCACAGCAGCCGCCAGTGGTGCACAAGCACGTCTATGTCCATGTGCCACCACCAGAGCCAGAGTACCAGGCACCCAGGTAAGTCGCAGAGCCTTAATTTTGCTTAAATTTCCATTGAGGTCAGAAGATGCAAAAGACAAATAAGCATTATTTTGAAATAAATATAAAATGGAAAAGTTACTATCCAAAAAAAAAAAAAAAAAAACAACTAAATAGTATTTCAGAAGGTTATTTCTTTTGATTATTAATCTGAACGTATAGAAAATTATTTAAATTTATTTTTTTTTGCTTTAAAATAGAGATGAATTAAAAAATCTCTAGTTGTTATTCATAGAAACCTAACTAACAGACAGATTAATTATATCTCTAAACTTTCATTTTCACTAAAAGAAAACCCTAGTCTAGTTTAAGTTTTTCGTTAAAGCTCCGTAAATTACCTAGATATTATCTTGTAAATATCATTGATCTGCTAGAGTTTGAGTCATCATTTACTTCTTCATTGAAGAGGCTTCATTTATTTCTTTAACACATATTATATATACTCTGTATATTTTTCACAATCTTAAATAATTACTCGGCAGTTCATATATAAACCCCTAAATGCCTATAAGCCCTACTTGCCTTAACTAACCCAAGTTTTAACTGTAGAATTTTGGTATACAAGAGTTGTTAACACTTTGTACGCTAAACTTTAAGAGCTTTCAAATATTTTCCCCCTACCTTAACCCCACTAAACATTTCCAGTTACTTAAGCTACATTCATTTCAGTATCTCATAGCTCACTCATAGACATCTCTTGTTTAGCTGCTTTTTAAGCCTTGTTTAAGCATATCTTCAATCAAATTATGTTTACAATGTCCAAGTTGTGCAAACATAATTTGCCAGCTGATTGCAAAGAGATATATTCCCACATTAAGGGAGCTTACGAACCATCTGGTTTGTTTGTCTGATGCCCCATTACAACTAATTGCAAAATGAATTGTCGTGTGTAGCTCCAGATATGACTATCCGCGTATATGTAGTCTATCTGGGTAATGCCCCACAATTATGAAAATTCTCCCACAATTCATGGACTCTATGAGTGCTTGAGTACTTTGTTTTTAGCTGCGAGACAACTGTTGCGAAAAACATGAGCGTTAATCATCTAATCCAGCTCAGGGCTACATAACTGTTTATTTTTTTTCGACTTGCTTTTTTGCATTATCATTTTTGTGAAGGGAGTAACAAGAGTTTTGTCTTTTTGTGCTGAAAACTTATTTAATAGAGGAACTCTTTAAATGGGCAACAATCTAAGCTAAGCTTATCTATCTCGCTCTCTTTCACTGTTTTTTGTCACTGTAGCCAGAAAGTAATGTTAATTGCCAGTTGGAAAAAGATATGGTGCTGAAGACAGCTAAAGCGTGACTAAGATGTTACCTAAGCTACATATATATTTTTTACTTTTCGTAGCTAATTATTCCATACGGAAAGGGAATTAGAAAGAGAGAGAGAGAGAGAGTGGGAGTGCAATTACCATAGCGTTAATATAGAAGAGTGCATACAACACTTTATATAAGAGTTGAATCCAGTCGAGTTTCTAGTGGGCAGCAAATTGTGACAGTTTTTGGTAGCTAATTATTGCATACGAAAAGGAGAGTGAATGCAATTACCATAGACTGTATATAAGAGTGGGTGTATACGTGTTTATATAAGTCTTCATGCGAAGTGCTAGAGAGTGTTGCACTTCCTAAGTAGCTAAGCTAGCAAATTGAGGAGATAGTATAAAATTACTAGAAAGTGCATATAAGAGTGTGAATATCAGACTTTATATAAGAGTTGGCTAAACTTGAATTGTTAGTGGGTAGCTAAATGTCACAGTTCCTTAGCTTGTTAATTATTATTGCATACGCAAAGGGAGTCAGAGGGAGAGAGCACAATATGCATATAAGATTTTGAATATAAGAGTTTTTATATAAGCTAGTGATGACAATCTAGATCATATTGAAGCTTTTCCATGCTTGCAAATAACTTATATAACATGTTTCTTCGACTTCTGGCGCTTTTCCTATAGGAAACCTCTGTATGTGCCGCCTCCACAGAAGCACTACAAGATTGTGTTCATCAAGGCGCCATCGCCACCAGCACCAACTGCACCAATTATCCCACAATTCCCACAGAACGAGGAGAAGACTTTGGTCTATGTGCTAGTCAAGAAACCAGAGGAGCAGCCCGATATTGTTATACCAACACCGGCACCAACGCAGCCCAGCAAACCGGAAGTCTACTTCATTCGCTACAAGACCCAAAAGGAGGAGACTGGTCCCTACCCGAATGCCATTGCACCACCTTCGGAGTATGGCGCACCCGCTGCCCCGCCAGCACCATCCGCGCCAAGCAGCTCCTATGGAGCACCTGCTCACTAAGCGAACCGCTGCTGCCTCCGGCCACTCATCATCCCCCTACCCCCTTCGAACTAAACCTTATTGATTTTTTACTCATTTTTTTATTCATAACGAAAAAAGAACAAAAAAAATCATTTTAATGTGTGACAAAATTTACGAATTATCATTATGTATACGCCCGATCCTTATACTTATTATTGTTGTTTCTTATGTAATTTTTTTACCTCTAAACATTCTCCGCATAGGCTGTTTGTTTCAAATTGTTTTGCCTAATCTTAAGTACCTAGTTCTTTAAGCACATGCGTTATATATACGATCATCAGTTATACATATATATATACCATATATATATACTTGATATGCATTTCAACTAGGCAAATATAAACTATGAATATTTCAGTAAATTGTTGTTGTTGAACGCAAAAGAAGAAGACAATGAAAAAAGCTACAAAAAAATAAAATAAAATGAATGATACTCAAAACATTATTATTGTATATGTATAAAAACAGTGGATCAAGAAAAATAAAAGTTATCTGAACTTAACATCTGAAAATGGAGTTTTGCATTAAAATAACAAAATTTTTAAAAAATTTTAGAAGAATTTTTAGGAGCATAATAAGAAAAACATATTAAAATAATAAAATATTTTTAATAGTTTTTCAAAGCTTAGATAATTTTTCAAAAGTATTTATTGTAGTTTATATAAATGCAATATTCTTAAAATAAAACTCTTCCCCTTTTACAAAATAACTGGCCTTAAATATAGCTCGAATCACAACTACTTTCTACTACTACTATTAATTTGAATTTCCAACTGCAGTCTTATATTGGCACATGACAACGTTGCCATGCTATGCAAATAATAACGGAATTGTCAAGCAGCACTGCCAGAAGCGAGTAAAGAAAACAAAAAACCAAACTTTCAAACTGTTTGTTAAGCGCCTCAGCTTATACTTAAATCGAAGCTCAGTAATATCATATTAGAATTCGCTATAGTTGGGCTTTAATTTAAAATGAATCTCATTTAATTTTCAGTAACTCTAACGGTAAACATTTACCTCACATCGTTGAGAGCTCACTTCAGCTTTGCAATTTTAATTGAGACATTGTCAGGACACTTTCAACTGCTTTCAAACTGTTCTGCGCTGTCTATGTGCATATGCACACGTATCCTGTTCAAAGTCCATCCAAATCCTAGCCATAGATGCTTTTAAATACACACACACGCTCGCTTGTACACACACACACACTCAACGGGCTTCTACTCGGCCTGTCAAATGTAAGCGAACTTAAAACACATCGTTTGCATTTTGGGCTGCCTGCACCGACCTCTCCCCTCGTCCACTGCAAACACTTAAGTGACGCTTCAGCTCCACAACTATCAGCGTGAGTGTCTGTGTGCGTGCTTTTTGCTCCTCTTTTGTTGTTTTTCCTTAAATGCATATGTGTGTGTGGGTGTGTGTGTGACTTTTTTTACAATATAAACATCATTTGCGTTGTTCCTTTTGTTTGAAGCCTCGCTGATTTTGTTTACCTGTGACTGCCGCCTGCCTGGCTGTCTGCTAACGGCACTTGTTCAAGAGAGCGCGCCAGCACTCTCTTAGCACAAAAGCGAAAGTCGTACAACCCCCACACAATGGACACAGCATTGCCAGCTGCAAGCAGTTAGACAACGCTCTCTTCTACAGTCGCGCAAGCGTCGCGTGTCTGTTAGCATAAAGAGCGACCAGAGCACTTGCCAAGCATTTGGTAGCGCCGTCCTGTTAGTTGCGATTGTAATGCCAACGCTAACGGCACGCTGCGGGCGTTCGCGTCGCGAGTGGTGCGTGTGTGTATGTGTTCGTAAAATGAAAATGTGTTTTTTTCGTTAGAGCCGGAGCAGCTAAAGAATCGTAACTAAAATAAATCATGTATATCAAAATCGAAGAAGCCAAAGCGTTGCAGCCAAAGATGAAATCAACAACCAGAAATTGCCAGTCATAAAAAAAGGGTTTGTGCACGCTCCATGTGTGTTACTGTGTGTGTGAGCAGTGGATGTGTGTGTGTGTGTGCGTGTGCCTGGTGTTGTGCTAATATTGTTGTCCATACAATGCCATGGCATTCTATATACCCTCTCCTCTCCCGCTCACTCTACACCACTGGTTTGTTGTTGTTGTTGTTGTTGCGTACAATTAGAAGGCATTGCCAATCGATTTGTGTGAAAAGCCAAAAGCTCAAAAGGTGGAACGCCTCAAAGAAGTCCGCTGTCGCAGGTGCGCGACATCTGAAAAATGAAGTTGAGCCAAACGTCGGCGTCAACGTCAACGTCAACGTTGACGTTCGAGTTGCCAGTCATTCACAATAGAAACGTGCCATCAAAATAAGAAAGAAAGAAGCAAAAAAGCAAAGAATGAAGGAACAATATTAATGAAAAGATGTTGCAAAAAATGTCACGTTCCTTATTTGAATTCGCATCATCATGTTAATGAAGGTGCTTCCCTGGAACCCTAAAAGCGAACGTCTGCAATGCTTAAAGTTGAGCTCTTCAATTTATAAAAGAACATATATGTAAATATATATATTGGAAACTGAGCAAAATAACTTTGAAAACTGAAGCTTTTAAAGATATTTTGAATGATAAACATAATTCTTATTGGACTGTCTAGAGTTCTAGGACTCAAATTCTTGAATACATCTATTAAATCTTGTTTAGAAATGCATTTATTGTTATATTAATATAATATTTACCCAACATTTTGAGATGCTTAACTATATTTGGAATTACAAATCTAGGAAAATGGAATTAAGTTAAATACAGTACAAAAATAATTTGTAGAACTAGAATTTTAGATTAGATTATGGCAGATAGCAAAAATCAGAAACTTATTTTAAATATATTTATTTATTTTAAATATATATATTTATAATATATTTTCTGCGTTCAATAAAAAACGAACTTAAAAACAAATTTAAATTATTAGTTATATAATACAAAAAATATTTAAAGTATAATATTCTTAACAAACAGTTCAACATCTTAAAAACGCATTAAAATATTAAAACAAAAACTAAAAAATCAAAAACATACGTAAACTATAATATTTTTTAAAAAATATTAATTTTAAATTAAATTGAATATAATTGAATGTAAGTGTTAAATGTTTCTAAAAAATTAAAAATAAATTTAAATTAAAAAATAAATAAATAAACATATTTAGAATTTATAAACAAATTAAAACTGAACAAAGCCTAGAAATCTTCATTGAATACCCTTAATGCAAAAAACGATTTTTGAACAAATGCTCAAAAAAGTGTTTAAAAAACTTTATAGCAAGTGAATTTCATAAACTAAATCCCAAATGAATAAAAAAGAATAAAATGCCGAGCTCTAAAAATATTACTTATAATAAAACCAAACATTGCTAGGTCTAAACGACAGCAGAGTCTAAATAAAATAGAAGCTCTTCACTTTTTGGTAAAATTACGAGCACTCAGAACATAAACTTAAGAGTCAAATATAAGAACAGCAGTTGATGCCCGAATAACTGATATAATTGTAAATAAACATAAAATAAACAAAAGAGTCCTTACTGAAAACTGCTTGCTGCAAGGGAAATTTCAGTGAAATAAAAACCAAAGTACCGCAAATAGATAAAATATATATCTATGCTTGGACGATGCTACAAGTGCATAAAAACCCCCAGTGAGTGTGAGAGAGAGGGAGAGGGAGTCAGTGGCACTGAGTCGAGTGTTGCCTGTGAAGCATATGCCCAATAAACAGATGCCCCATAACCATAAAGCGAAAGTGTTATGGCCATTACCATAGGACGGCAGGACCTCGTCCTAAGTCACAGTTGTCCCTTCTTGGCAGAAATCACAATTTATGACATTACACATAAAATCTGCACACAATGTAACGAAAGGAGAAATTCTTGGCAAAACTTTTACAGCACTCAGTTGGATCCTTATTAACTAGTGGATGCTACAACTAGCTCTTCTTCTTCCTTTCCTTTCTACTCCATGTCTGTCACAAGCAGAAGTGCTTCCAGCTAGTAAGACACTCACACACACACGGACATTAAGAGTATGGAAACGGAGTCATTGGGCCGTGGAGCAATGAGCGCCAGCCAAACGCCGCGCAACGGCGGCTTCTGTGGTGCACTCCAGCGTGCACCACCAGCCATGCCGGCGGCCCTGCAACGGCGTCTCTCCAGTCGGGAATGCTATGGCGTTGGCAAAGTCAAAGTCATGTTACGCGTCGCCGACAAATCGGACAGCGCCGTCAGCGAGTCTGGCTGCTTTATGGCGCTCGATAAGAAGAAGCGACAGGTGACACTAACCGATCCAAAGAACGTCTCGGCCCCGCAGGCCCAGGAGCGAGCGCCCATGGTTGCGGCACCAAAAATGTTTGCCTTCGATAATCTATTTACAGCGGAAGATAAACAGGTGAGTGGAAGACAGAGCTGAGATAGAATAGATATCTTATTGCTGGACAAGGTATAAGGACATAAAAAATGGCATAGAATAAGCTGAAGACTTCTAGAATCCAATCGACTTCTAGAAAAAAAGCTGTTGAGTGAAAGAGATAAAGAAGATATATTGTTTTTGGAAAAGGAAAGAACTAGAAACGATTCTTGAGTGGTGCAAATTGATTGAGATAGAGAAGCAAAGAATAAAATATAAAAGTTAAAAATTTAAAAAGTAAAATATAAAAACTGCGAAGATAAATGTAAATAGTATAATTATAGTATAATGATGATATAATCATAAGGATATACAGATGAAAACGAAAAGAATAAATTAATTGTAGAATACAATGCATTAGCTGATAAGTAGGCAGTGTTTAGTATTGGATAAGGTAAGAGAAATTTCATAGATATCTGAATAAAATTTTCATTCAGATATCTATGAAATTTCTCTTACCTTATCCAATACTAAACACTCTTACCTTATCCAATACTAAACACTCCTACCTTATCCAATACTTATCAGCTTATCCTTCGTAGTCTACAATTAATTTCGTAGGGAAAAGAATATTAAAGATGAGAAATTGAAAGTAATCTTACTATGTATAAGAAACATTCCA